CCCCCCCCCACGGTAATGCAGCTGTTCCACTCGACAAGCCCCCCAACCACGCACGAAGACTCAGCGAATCCTCCCACAGCTGCTTCGCCATCACGTATCGGCAGGTGACTCGAAGAACCGGACGGAGCCCTCCAACACCACCCCAACCATCTCGCTGTTTCGAATCTCTGAGATTTGCTGTGACTGCTACTGCAGAGCCTATCGATTTGCACCCAAGAGTTCTGGCGCTGGAAATTACCGAAACGCCGGACATCTACGACCACCCGCATCTCCTTCATTACGACATACGGGTACAACGCTCTTCAGGATTATCGTTGCAGTAATTTCAAAGAAGTTCCTGAGAAACGTTTACCTGTGATTATCTCGGAATGACACCACTGTTGGGACCAAAATTAAGCAGCTCCCTTCCTCTCTCTCTCTCTCTCTCTCTCAGTTACACCGAACTCGGCCGAGAACAACATGAGATACAACACCATTTTTCACTGTTTATTCATTTTCATTTTTAAGAATACAAAATGAGTGTTAACAAGCGAAGATATGAAGGGAAATTCCAATGCTGTTCAGCTGCGTATAAATTGCATGCTCCAGGTACAACGGAAACTCCCCAGAATTCGTCCAGAAATTACTGATATCGCGATTACGAACATTTCAAAAGCCAGTGCAAACTTGCATCGTATCCGTTGCAAACGTAGCAGCTGAACGACAGTTCGGAATGAAAAACAGAAAATTCCCCAAAATGAAGTTAAACAAAACTTCCGCATGAAAACCGAATGTAAAGAAGCCATAAAAACAGATGTATGCAATAAAAGCGATAGCGCCAAGCAGTTATATACAAAATATATGCAGATTTTTTCAGGCATAACTTCTTTAGAGGCTCAACAAAAACGACAGAGAGACGGAGGCTTCCTTTGCCAATCACAATCACGCCTAGCAAGGCCGATAAAACACAGATCGGTCTTGTGAAAACTTAAAAAAAAATATTTCATTTTTTTACAAAGCCGTAACGTCTAGAAAAATTTCAAATTTTATGAGCTGCTGTAACGGCACAGTCCGACCAGATTGTATACAGGAGAACAGAAAAAGAGAATTACATCATAGCAGAGCAAAAGCGAGACTGGGACTGAACTGCTGCAAGTAACGTAAGTCCGAGTGATCCCAGCGAGTGAATAAATTAAATTTCATGCATTTCTGCTTACAAGTAGCTACAGAGAGTAGAAAGGGACTCAACGACAAGTAGTGGTCACAGCGAGCAACAATGCCAATGAGAAATTTTAACAGAACAGATAAGGTGCAACAAGGGCTGATGTTGTGCTTGTGTGCGTGTGTGTATGATGTGAGTTTTTGCGCCCTCTCAAACGAATCCCACTTCGCGGCGCTCAGCCAGCTCTTCTTACAAACTGCTAAAATTTTAGCAATGTTGTAGCGACAGCGTGCTTTACTCCAGTGAGGCAGGTGTGCGAGACTGTTTTGGTAAATGCATGAAATTTTCACTTCGTAATGAGCAGTTTGGCTGACAAAAAATCGAAAACAGGAAGCGCCTATAAGGAGAACAGGCCTGTGTGATAAAGCTAGCCGCTCAGGACGGAATACAAGGGTGCATGGAGAGAGCGAATTAGCTTCGCGATAACCTTAAAACTAGCAAAAATAGATAGGGTCAGTGCAACAATTTCAGCCAATGATCGAGTCGTCCCCTTCTAAAACATGATGCAAGCAACGCAAAAAAGTAAAAAAAAAAGGGGCTGATGATTTAGGAAAAAATTTTCATGTACAGCAAAAACCCCAAAACAAATGTCTAAAAATTTCCTCGCCTACAAACAGAGCAAGAAGTGCTAGAAAAAAATTAATACATTCAGACCGACTATTCACAAACACCAGTGTTGTGATACTAAAAAACAAAGATACCAAAATTAATAGCATTTAGAAAAGCATTACAT